CCTTCCTCTATAAATAGATGGGTGAGGGGAGGGCTGCTGGACACACACACCTCCAAGGCGCAGCCCCTCCTCTCCCCAACACCTCTCCTCCTCCGTACGTGCTTGGCGAAGCCCTGTCGGAGTACTGCTGCACCAACTACACCACGCCGTCGTGCTGCCGTTGGAGCAATCTTCCTCAACCTCTCCTTCCCCCTTGCTGGATCAAGAAGGAGGAAACGTCCCCGTCCCGTACGTGTGTTGAACGTGGAGGTGCTGTCCGTTCAGCACTTGGTCATCGGTGATCCGAATCACGTTCGAGTACGACTCCATCATCACCATCCCCTTGCAAGCTTCCGCGCGTGATCTACAAGTGGTATGTAGATGCAAACTCACTCCCTTGACTCGTTGCTTAGATGAACCCATAGATGGATCTTGGTGAAACCGTAGGAAAATTTTTAATTTTCTGCAACGTTCCCCAACAGTTGACACACAGGCGCCATGATTTGTCCTTTTTAGGTACCATGACCAGGTTGGCTAACCAATCCGGATGTTTGATTTCCGTAATAAACCCAACCTCTAGTAACTTGGCTAGCTCTTCTCCCATAGCCTGACGCTTGGGTTCGGAGAATTGCCGTAGTGTCTGCTTCACGGGTTTGAATCCCTTAATTATATTGAGACTCTGTTCGGCCAGTCTTCATGGGATGCCAGGCATGTCTGAAGGGTGCCAGGTGAAAATATCCCAATTCTCGCGCAGGAAGGCGCGTAGGGCAGCGTCCACTGCCGGATCCAGCTATGCTCCGATAGACGATGTTTTATTAGGGTCCGTCGAGTACACTTGGAACTTTACTATTTCTTCTGCTGGCTTGAAAGAGGTGGACTTGGATCTTTTATCAAGGATCACATTGTCCCTATCCACCATAGCTCGTAAGGTGGTTAATTCTTCTGCCGCTAGGGCTTCAGATAGTGCCACGAGGGCCAAGGATGTTGTTTCGTTTTCAGCACGAAGGGCTTTGTCCGGGTCCCTCGAGATTGTGATGATTCCATTAGGGTCGGGCATTTTGAGCTTCATGTACCCATAATGGGGTATAGCTTGAAAGTGCGAGAAAGCATCCCGGCCGAGGATAGCGTGATACCCGCTGTTAAAGGGGACCACATGGAAGAGCAATTCTTCGGATCTATAGTTTTCTGGTGTACTGAACACCACATCCAGTTTGATTTTTCCAGAGTAGTGTGCCTCTCGGCTGGGGATAATACCTTGAAAGGTGGTGTTGCTTTGCTCGATGCGCCTATCCATCTGCATCTTGTCGAATGTGCCCTCATAGATGAGGTTAAGTCCACTACCGCCGTCCATGAGTACTTGGGTAAGCCGGAAACCATCAAAGATGGGGTTTAGTACCAAGGCGGCAGTTGCTCGGATGGACCGAGCCTTTGGTTCGTCTTCGACTGTAAAGGTTATCGCCGTGTCGTTCCATGGGCTCAGTGCGGTAACTTGATGGACTTCGGCGAGGTCTTGAAGTGCCCATTTACGTCGATTTGTAGAAGAGAAAGTCTCGGAGACTGTTAGGACATTAAAGCTGTCCATCTCCGGTGAGTATCCTTCTGGAGCTATGGTGAGGATGGCCTCTCCACTTTTTGCTACCTGTCGGAGTACCCAGCATGCCCGGAGGCTATGAGTTGGGACTGTGTGCGGAGTAGTATGGATCGGGCAGGGTTTCTCCAATAGTTCGTCAAGAACAGACCTATGTTTCGTGAAGGGCTTGTTTTTCCTGCCCATAGCTCGATGGTCGGGTGACCCGCCGGGGTATATTCTTTTAGCCCGGGCCGCACACTGCGTCGAGGTGGCGGGCTCCAGTTGAGTTTTCTGGGCCCTCCATATGATTTCCATCGCATAGTACTTTTGTACTACGTGCGATAATTCCGTGAAGCTCTGTATGTGGCGACGGTCGAGGGAATTCCATATCCCTTCGTCTGTACAGTTACGACGGAAGACCGAAACCACATCGTCGTCCGAAAAGTCCTTGATCTTGTTTTTAACAAGCAGGAATCTGGCCCAAAAGTGATGGACCGTTTCCTGGGGCTGCTGCCGCACATACATCAGGTCGTATATATCTAGTGGACCTGAATTGCTTGGAGAGTATAGATTGTGGTGGGTGGGTGGGTTAAATTTTAGATCCTGTCCCACCTTCGTGTTCGGAGCCGGTATGGCTTCTGAAGTGACCGGTTCGGGTCCAGTTGAGCGCAAAGGCTCTTGCAATCCTACAGCTAAACCAGAGTCCGGCGGGAGTAAAGTCCCTTCCGAAGGGGAAGTATCCGGCTCAGGGGATTCGGGGACCCGAACATACTTGGTCCTCAATATGGGAGGGGAGGCGTGAGTGTCCGGTGCCTCGACGATCGCCACGAAGTGGGTGATCGGTGGGTGATTAATTTCCCTCTGGTCGGGCTTGAGCCCGATCCGATCATAGTCCGTTGAGACCCCCAGGGCGGTGATGCGGTCGAGCAGTTCATTTAAAGACGAAACATCTGTTGGATCCAATTTTTTCGAGTACTTGGGGCCAATACGAGGACGTTGTCCGATAGGCGTGAGAGGAGTTGCGGGCTTGATGGCCGCGCGGGCCCTCATGGTAAAACCGCCGAACCGGAGGGTCTGCCCCAAAGCCAGGTACCCTCCGAAAGTGATATTGTCGTTGATGACTAGGCGAGCCATGGATCGCTTTTCGCAGACAGCACAGCGGAGCTCTCAATGAAAGCACCAATGTCGGTGTCAAAACCGGCAGATCTCATGTAGGGCGGGCCCAAGCTATGCGTCTAAGGACCAATGGTAACAGGAGGCCAGGGGACACGATATTTATTCAGGTTCGGGCCCTCTTAATGGAGGTAAGACCCTACTCCTACTTGATTATAATTGTCGAGTATGAAGATTACAAGAGTTGATCTACCTCGAGATCGTAATGGCTAACCCTAGATGTCTAGCCTATGAAGATTCCAATGAGGATGAAAGTTGCCCTCTACACATTAACCCCTCCAGTTTATATACACACCAGAGAGGGGTCTAGGGTTTATACAAGGTTAGTTTATCAGGTAAGGAAACTTCCGGACTCTATTCTTGCCTTCCACGCATTGAGATGTCCCATCCGGACACGGTAGATAATCTTCACCTTGATCCTATACGACCCATGCAACCCGGCCCATACTCCTGGGTCGGACATCTGAGAACCCCCGAATTCAAGACTCCCTCAGATGGGGCACCCCCATCAGATGTTTGGTGTTGGTGTGATGTCTGTTTGGTATTAAGCTCCATTCGGCACCCCTTCATCATGGTGATCGGAGTAGCGACATGTGTTGCCAAGATGATGGCTTCAGGCTTACTGATGTATTACCTTGTAAGGCTTTGTGAATAATTAACAAAATGGATGCATGCATTGTGTAGATGGAGAGGCCGGGGATACATCTTCCTTCTCGAAACAAAAATATGCATTTTACTCAAATTCGTTTGTTCACAGAGCATAGATAGATTTTGAACTCATGCACATCACAGCAGCACAACACCATGCTTGTTATTACATAAAAAAAGATCAAACTAATCATACGCGTGTGCTGAAGTTGTTTGTGCCAATTTGTTCTTGAAATGCTGATAGAAGTGTTGAATGGTTGAAGCTATCAGGACGGGTTATTTTCCAGCCGAACCTTGCAATCTTGTGTCCTCGTCCATGTACCATCTCTTCAGCCTCTCATGAGCAATCTTTACCTGCATGGGGGTTAAAACACACACATAATTTAGTATCTCGCCTTTTAGCCTACACATATGTATTATCTGATTTGTTTTTTTAGGCAAATCCACAAAGCTTTATTCAACCGTCACAATGTTTACAGGGACGAAAACAAGGTTTCCGGGGTGGCCTAACCAGACATGGCGACCGGTCCTCAAATTTAAGGCATGCTTTGCAAGTTTGTGAGCCTCGACATTCGAGGTTTCAAATTCATGACAAATTTGACAAGAAGAAAAGGACCTAGTTCGGTCTTTGATCTCAAGTACAATTGCTCCATAAGCAGCCGAGGTACCTGACTTGATAGCTTCCACCACCATTTTACATTCCGAGGCGATTGCAATGTCCTGCACATACAGATCTTCAGAGAGGGCCATCGCTTCACGTATCGCCAGTGCTTCTAGAACTTCGGGTTCATCCATATTGGCTAAAATTAACACTGAAGCTCCCTGGAAAGCTCCTAAACCGTCTCGGCATATTGCAGAAACTGCGCCAAGTCCACCGAGCCTTGCAACGGCCGCATATACATTCACTTTGAAGTGTTGGTCAGGAGGAGGAATCCAGTTCATCGACCTGGGCTCTGGTGCGTTCCTTTTTGCGACTCGAGGTTGCTCAAGGAACTCGATATCTGATAAGTAGCTAGATATGAAACCATTGGTGGCATGTGGAGTCTGATAAATACCTTCATGGATCGCCTTTCGCCGCGTATGCCAGATCGCCCAAGCTGTAACGATCAAGAGTCTGAATTCATCATTTGGAGGAGCATCTGACATGGAATGTAGCCACCGTCTAGCACCAGTGTCATGGTTTGAGGCCAAGTGTTGCACCATATCCTCCTTCGACAGCGCCCAGGTGCATCTGGCGAGTGCACACTCAAGTAGGGCGTGTCTCCAGCTGTCTTGACCACCACAAATAGCACACACGTCCATAGTTGCCATATTACGACTCTGGAGTACGTCCCCTGTTGGTAAGGAATGTTGGGCTAGCCTCCATGCAAAAACTTTAAGCTTCGAGGGCACCTTTAAATTCCAAAGATCCGACCAACCTTTCTTCTGTGCTTGCAAGTTTGACCAGCTCTCCGCTTCCTCTAGCCATTCTTTTCTACCCATTTTTGTTCTGTATATCATCTTGTATGCCGTTCTAACATAAAACCGGCCCTTTGGGTCCTCCGCCCAAGCCCAGAAGTCATCCAATTGCCTGGTGCATATGGGTATCCTCAGGATCACTTCAGCATCTAACTGAACAAAAATCTGCCTTACCAACTCCTCCTTCCAGGAAGCCGAGTTGCATCAATAAGATCAGCAACTAGGTCATGAATCAGCGAGGAAATTGGTCTCATCAGCCCAGGTCGTGGTAACCAATTATGGTGCCATATCTTGGTTGTCCGTCCATCCCCAATTCTTCGAATGATTCCCTGTTTGATGACTCCCCTTCCATCCAGAATAGCACGCCAAATCTGAGAGGGGTGAGCCCCTAACTCTGCTTCGAGGATTGAGCATTCCGGATGATAAGCAGCCTTCAAAATTCTCGCACTCAGGGAATGAGGCTCCTCTAAACACTTCCAAGCCTGTCTTGACAAGAGAGCTAGGTTAAAGATTTCAAGGTCCCGGAAGCCCAGTCCTTCCAAGTTTTTAGGCCTTGTCATCACATCCCATGACACCCAACATGGTTTTCTTTTTCCTTGCTTGCTGCCCCATCAGAATTGTCTAATGGTTGACGTCACATTATCACACAACCCTCTTGGTAGCCTGAAGCAAGACATGGAAAACACTGGAATGGCTTGAGCTACAGATTTTATTAATACCCCTTTGCCTGCAGCTGAGAGAAGTTTTTGCATCCATCCTCGAATTTTCTCCCACACTCTATCTCTTAAATACTTAAACGTGCCATTCTTGGATTGTCCAACTTCTGTAGGCATCCCCAGATATTTCTCGCTCAGGGATTCGTTCTGAACTCCAAGGATATCTTTGATTTGCTGCTTGGTACTATTGGGACATCCCTTACTGAAGAATATAGAGGATTTGACATTGTTAATTCTCTGGCCAGAAGCATTACAGTAAACATTCAGTAGGTTTGACACCACATTTGCCCCCTCAATACTAGACTTAAATAATAGCAGGCTATCATCTGCAAATAGAAGGTGGTTCACCTGAGGAGCTGTGGGACCCACCTTAACACCACTTAGAGCTGATGACTGAGAACTGGATTTTAGTAGGCACGAAAGGCCCTTTGCTGCAAGTAAGAATAGATAAGGGGAAATAGGATCTCCCTGCCGAATACCTCGTGTTGGTTTGAATTGCTCTAGCTTTTCACCATTGAAGAGAACTGAAAACGACACAGATCTTACCATACCCATAACAACATCCACCCAGGCTTGAGAAAAGCCCAATTTGGTCATTGTACCTTGTAAATAATCCCATTCCAACCTATCATACGCCTTCATCATGTCCAACTTCAGAGCACAGTAACTATTGGTTTTAGACATGTTTCTCTTCATAAAATGCAAGCACTCATATGCACTGATGATGTTATCTGTAATCAGTCTACCAGGCACAAAGGCCGACTGTTCCTCGGATATAATTTCTGGGAGAATAACTTTAAGCCTGTTTGCCACCTCCTTTGATGCAATTTTGTACAATACATTGCAAAGACTGATAGGTCTAAACTGTGACAGAGATGAGGGTTGTGTTACCTTAGGGATTAATACTAAGACAGTGTCATTAATGCTTTCCGGGCTCTCCTCTCCCTTAATGATACGCATGACCACCGCACTTACTTCATCCCCACAAATGTCCCAGTGCCGCTGATAGAACTGAGCAGGAAGGTTGTCTGGTCCTGGAGCTTTTGTTGGGAACATATGAAACAAAGCATCTTTTATCTCTTTATTTGTATAAGGCGCGCACAAAGACTCATTCATCTCCGGAGATACCTTCCTGGGCACATGCCTCAACACCTCATCCACTCCCTGCACCCCCTCCGATGTGTACAACGTTTTATAAAAGTTCAGAGCCATGCTTTTCAGCTCCACAGGGTCCTCTGTGTGAACTTCGAGAGCATTAGTGGGCGCTCGGATCATATTCTTCTTACGCCGCATACTAGCCCTCATATGAAAGAACTTAGTGTTCCTGTCACCAGCTGATAGCCATTCTAGCCGAGATCTCTGCCTCCACATGAGCTCCTCTCTGTGATAGAGTTCGGCCAATCTCTCGTTAAGTTTCAACTCAGGATGTGAAGGACTTATGCGCACCGGGTCATTGCGTAAGGTCTCTAGCTGGGCCTTGATTTGTTTTATTTCTTTCTGGACATTGCCAAAGGTATCCCTGCACCACCTAGACAATTCTATAGTTATTTTCAACAGCTTGTCCCGAAAGTCTCCCACGCCATAGCCTGCATCTGCTGCATTCCAACTACTAGAGATTGTGTCCCTCCAAGATTCATGTGATTCCCACATCACCTCGTATCTGAAGGGTTTCTTTGGTGTAGCATGATTCTGAGTTGGATCCAACTGTAACAAGATTGGTCCATGATCAGACGTGGCCGAGGTCAGGTGATTGAGTACTGCTTGCGGGAATCGGGCTACCCACGTCGAGCTTGCCAAGGCTCTATCCAAACGCACCCGGGTATAAGAGCCCCCTGCTACCTTCTTCTCGAAAGTCCAAAAACGGCCTTGGTAACCTAAGTCCATCAACATACAGATATCCACTGTATCCCGAAAACTCTGAATCTGGGTGTTGCTTCTGTTGGCTACACCTTCGTGTTCATTTGGTTGCAGCACTTCATTGAAATCTCCAAAACAAAGCCATGGCAGGTCGCTAAGAGTGTTGATGTCTTTCATGAGATCCCAAGTCTGGTGCCTAAGTTGTGTCTGTGCCTCACCATACACACACGTAATACACCACGGCTCTTGACCTGCCTCCTCAATCTTAGCATCTATATGGTAGCAAGAGTCGCCTAAAATCTCAAGTTTGGTACAGTCATTCCAAAACATTCCAATCCCACCGCTTCTTCCTTGACTGTCTACAGCATATGAGTGATCAAAGCCAAGAGAACTAGCAAGAGCTTCTACACGTGCCCCACTAATCTGGGTCTCAACGATACAGAGCACGGTAGGGGTAAACTTCATCGCGAAATCGCGAATTTCTCGAACTGTCGCAGGTTTACCCGCACCGCGACAATTCCAACAAAATGCACTCATTGGGCTTGGCGGCGCCCCTCGAGGGAGCCCGCCAGAGTTTTAACAATGCTATTGTGTCCCTCTCTTCCATCAAATTCAGTCCTTGGCTTTTTTGGATCTCTTTTAACAGGTGGGCTGGCCACTGAAGTCCCTGCTGGAACAAGAGCCAGTCGTTCCTCCTCTGCACTAGTATCATGCATAAGCGGCATGGCCGTAGAGTTGCTACCTAGCTCCATCCTATCATTCCTCTTCCAGGAAGGATCTTCCATTGCAGTGTCCGACCCAGCTGTTATACCACTTCCCCCATGTGATGTTGTGGTGTACTCCGTAGTTTCGTCCAAGCTAGGCTCCTCATCAAAACCCTCATGTGTACTTGGTGCAGGTGCTGGGCCACGCCCTCCGCTCCGTCCTCCTCTTCTGCCGCCCCTACGGCCTCGACCCCGCCAGGTCCACGGCCTGTCTGCATGAACCACTCAGCACGCAACTCCTTAAAGACAAGAGCCGACGGAGGATGAATTCCCGTGCCATGTTCCTTGTACAGATGACCAAGCATCCCACACACCCCGCACCAATCAGGAAGTTTTTCGTATTTCACTCGATAGATCTGTCGCCTCGCATCGCGTATCATGGATACATGGTTCCTCAGCGGTTTTGTTACCACAATTCTTATCCAGACTCGGTAGAAGTTCCCCGCAAAGTCTTGAGAGGGTGGTTCAACATACAATACCTCCCCCAATTTAGCAGCTAAGGATGGTACGAGGTGGGCATATAAATATGGGACATCATGAATCTGCGCCCATATCTCGATAGTATCCATCTTGATCGTCGACGGCTTAGTCACTCCATCATAGGGTTTCATGATCACCGCATCTCCCCGGAAGTGCCATGGACCATCATTCATTACTATCTCCCAATCTCCAAGACATGAGAATTGGATTGTGTAAAGGTTAGTCCTCAAGTGGTCTGAACTTGACTTCTTGTGCTAGATCCCAAGTTGATCTCATATTTCGGTAGAACCACGTTTGGCTGTAGGTTTTCGGGGTATGAACCCTAGCCAAAGCCACCCAGCGGACCACCTCTGGTGGTGCATCCTTGTCCTTGAAGACTACATCATCCAAGTCCTCCTCTGTCAGCCCTAGCTCCTACATCATCTTCTCAACATCGCTCACCTCTGCCCGATCAGACCTCTCGGCGGTATCCATGAAGATTTCCTTACCCGATGTACTACAACACGGGTGACTTGAGATAAGAACCCTACTCCGTTGATCTGCCCGCCAGCGCGATCACGCGTCGAACAAGGCATCGTCAGCGACAGGGACAACCAGGCAACTCGACGGCGGCGACAGAATCGCCAGCGCGAGAACAAAACCCTAACCAGAGGGAAAACACGGCGCGTCTATAGCTTAGCTATGTATTATCTGATGAGTATCGGGCTCCTCGGTGTCCCTTGTTTGGAGATCGAAGGCCCATCCTAGAAAAACCTACGAGGCCTGTGTCGCCCACCACGCAGGCGACCCGGGTGGAACCCTAGTCGCCGGGCGAACTCCCTCCTTGCTAGATCTCCCTCCCCTCGCCGTTGTCAGCAGGTACTGGCGGGCAAAGCCGACGCAAGCCCGCGCAGCGGCGACGGCGGCGGGGCACTCCGATTCTCCCTCTTATGGTGTTCGGGCGTTGCGGGGCGTCCGCCATGGAAGCGCGTGGTCGCCTGGCGAGCTTGCGCTGGGGATGCACGGCGAGCGTGTAAGGCGTGCGGGAGTGCGTGCGGTGCGCGGACGCATATGTGGTCTGTCTCTCATGGCGCAGCGGCGGCTGGCAGATCGGATCTCGGGGCGGCGGCCTCGATCGGTGGCGTGCGGTGTGGCCTGCCTGGAGGACGGCACCCACGGGTGCAGATGGGGGGCCTTCCACGGCTACGTGGGTGACGTGGAGCCGGCGGCGCTGCGGCGGCCCCTCGATGGCCGACCAGAGTTCCATGGGAGGCGTCGTCTTCGACTCGATCTACTCCGGTTCGTGCTGGCTATGGTACTTAGCGACTACGGTCGACGGCAGTACTGCCTAGATGGATCTGGCGGGTGGGCATGGATCCGGGGGAAACTCCAGGCCGGCGTGGCGACCGCACCAAAGTCGACGCCCTCAGCGCCGATTCCCTTCCTGGAGGCTTTGGTGTGGATCCAACGCCCCCTACCTCTGCCATGAGCACAGGTGAAAGTCTCTGTTCTCTGTTTGGGCGACGATGGCACTTTGGTGTCGTGTTCCTTCTTGAAGGCGTCGGCCGGGGACTGCTCAAGGTGGTGGAGTTGCTGGTAGTTCGGAGTCGACGCGAGATGGCATGTAGGTGGAGCGGTGTGGCACCTACCGTATCGTCGACGGTGGGTCTCGGCGGCATGGCGCACTGGAGACTCGGCGTCCGATGCGCGGAGATGGACTCGCGCAGGAGGAGGAAGCTGTGTGGCGTCATGCAGTGTGCGGTGCTCACTGGGAGTTTGCCGACCGGTGTGTGACCCAATCTAGGTAGTGGCTTGGATGGAACACCCAGCTTTAGATGTTAGGCTTTGATGCGATGTATGTTTGGTATTAGGTCCGGACATTCGGCACACCTTCATCAAGGGGATAGTAATAGCAATAACGTTGTCAAGATGATGTCTTCAGGCTTATTGATGTATCACGTTGTATGAACTTTGTGAATAATTAATAATATGGTTGCATGCATCGTCCAGATGCAGAGGCCGGGGATACATCCTTCTTTTTAAAAAAAATAAAAATAATAAAATCTGATGAGTATCAACTCAAGACTAAGGCGACAAAGTGAAGATCAGACAAAATGATCATTGTTACGTACCTGTTTTTGCCAGTCAGTCCCAAGTGTTATGAACACAAGTACAACAGTTTGAACCAGTGTGCCTACCAGCATCCCAATCCAAATGCCCTGATTTTTTAAAACATTTATATAGTTGCAAACACAAATCGGAGAGAAGATGACGCACCATGGTAATGGTGTGAGGGACTAATTATCTGTGTAATTACCTTAACTTGAAATCCGACAATGTAACCAAGCACTACCCCAAGTGGGATGCCAATCATGTAGTAGGATGTGATGTTAACATAGGCGACCGCACTTTGCCAGCCCGCACCAACAGCAACGCCTGCAGGTAGTCAAACAAGAGAGTGATGTTATTTCAGATAGAAAACAGACCTATACTGATGTTCATCGTGTGTGTCTACCTTATACTCCCTCCGTTCCAAATTAGTCTTCGTGGTTTTAGTTCAAATTTGAACTAAAACCACGACGAGTAATTTGGAACGGAGGGAGTAGTAACAATAAAATGGTGAAGCTAACCTGATAGCACTGGTTGAACACTGTTCAGCAGAATAGAGAATGCCAGGAGAGGCGAAAGGTCGGCCACCGCACCAGCTACTGCTCGGCTCTCGGTAAACATGTACGCGATGTTCCCGCGGAAGAAAAGGAAGAATACAAACAACACAAATCCGATGAAGAAGGAAGTGATGACCACATTGGCGATGGCGAACTTGGCCCTCCTCGCACTTCCAGCACCAAGCTCATTTGCCACTCGCACTCTGTAACAATCATTGTGGCCTCATGATTTTTGTTCTGTTTTGAGGAATGCTCATGATTGAACCACAATATCAGCTAATTAATGAAATGCAGGCTGAAGATCAAGAAGTTATACCCGGTTGCACCCAAAAATCCTACTGAAATCATCAGCTCCCATCCATTGATGTTAAGGCTATGTATTTCACAAATACAAAACACTCAACACTGATTAATTACTTCATGTATTTGAATGTGACAGTAAGAACATAAGATAATATCCATGGATAGTTAGACCATGTGTGGAACTAATGTCAATATGGATGTTACCATATGGAAAGAGCGTCGAGTGCAATCTGTGCATTCTTCATATTCCCAGTCAGGAGGACCAATATTGTGTTGTACCACATTTCCAAACTGAAAATGCAAACAGGTAAAGGAGAAGTGTATATGTCAATCTTTAAAGGGTTAGGATGAAGGGACAGCCTGCCAAACATAGTCTCTTCTACTTTATCATCCAGTATATATCCTAGCATAATTAGGTTCATTAAGATTAATCTTGACAAAATTAATAAATTCTATTCCCTCCGTCCGAAAATACTTGTCATCAAACTGGATAAAAAGGGATGTATCTAGATGAATTTTAGTTCTAGATACATCTCTTTTTATCCATTTTGATGACAAGTATTTTCGGACGGAGGGAATAGAAACTAAAAGAGCAATTTCTTAGCAGGCCGCTGCATTGTATAACACCTAGCCTTCGCAAGAAGGATGCACAGTTACATACAACCGAAAGGCATTATTCTTTTGTTATCATCAATTTCTTAGCAGGTCGCTGCGTAATAAGATTATTCTTTAATTTGGAATGTCATTAAGAAGTGTTCTATTGTAATGAGGAGAAAATTCATCATGTCTTTCTCTCATGTCCATCCGCTCATCTTCTATGCATATTGTTTAAGTGGCTTTTAATCCCCCACCGCCGGTGGGTATATCAAATATGTTTGGGAATTGACTGGCTATGGTTATACCAAAATTACATATCCAGGTGGGGGTTTGCGTTATATATTGAGCAATTTGTACTTATTGTAATGATTTTGTTTTTATATAGAGCTTCCAACTTCTTGCATGTACTACTCTAGGGCTACACACTGAATCTGTATATGGTGTTCACTTTAGCAAGTATAGGTATGAAATACATTGGATATGTACTGCTCTAAGGCTATGTGTTCCCGATATGGATGACGGTCTAGCAATAAAAATCTGTGAAACACGAGTACATCGGTGTCTTTTTTTTCTATAACGGACTCCTACAACCCTAAATAAGCCATGCCACGTTAGTTCCAATGAAAAAACATGAGTAGAGGAAGGAATATACTCGATGGTGTTGTAGTCCTGCAAGAGACCGTCCACGGAATGCACCGAAAAAACATGAGGAAAAGCCTATGACAAGGTCAAATGGTCTTTTCTCCAACAGGCCTTCGGATGAAGGGTTTCTCTGAGAAATGGCGTTAGTAGATCCAAAATTTTGTAACTAGAGGTAGTGTGGCCATAAAAATCAATGATGATGTAGGTCACTTTCAGACAAAAAGGGACCACGACAGGGTGACCCCATGTCCTCAATGTTATTTAACATTGTTGCTGACACGTTGGCTATTCTGATTGAACGTGCGAAGCAAGACAATCAGATTGCAGGAGTAGTGGCACACCTTGTGGATGGTGTCCTCTCTATTTGCAATATACCGACGACACAATTCTTTTACGTAACATGATCTGGACAAGGCTCGAAACTTAAAACTCTTGCTTTCAGCGTTTGAAAAAAATGTCGGATCTCAAAATAAACTTCCATAAAAGTGAATTGTTTTGCCATTGAGGCTACGGCCGATTATGCCAACCTATTTCGTTGCGCGCATGGTCAATTCCCAATTAAATATCTGGGAATAACGATTCATTATTGGCGCCTCACCATTACGGAGTAGAATCATGTAGAGGGCATCTAGAGAAACGGTTGAGCAGTTGGAAAGGCAAGCTGCTATTAGTTGAAGGACGACTGGTTTTGATTAACTTTGTCCTTAAAAATATGGTTCTCTATATACTTTCTTTCTTTCTTCCAACTCCAAAAAGGGGTCCTACAAAGACTGGACTATTTTAGATCCAGATTTTTCTGGCAAGGAGATGGTGAAAACAAAAAATATAGATTAGCCAAATGAAGCGTGGTTTGTAGGCGGAAAGACCAAGATAGCCTTGGAATTCATGACTTGCAGGTCAACAATGAGGCCCTACTCACTAAATGGTTGTTCAAACTTTTTACTGAGGATGGTGTTTGGCAAATCATGCTGCCCAACAAGTATCTAGGCCAAAAGGCAGTATCTCAGGCATTCTGAAAACCTGACGACTCGCGCTTCTGGGCCGGCCTAATGGTAGCAAAGAAACATCTCTTTTCGCTTTGGGTTTTTCACGATAAAGGATGGGTCAGAGATTCATTTCTGGGAAGACATTTGGCTTGGCAATGCTAGTCTCCAAGAATAATATCCAGCCTTGTACAATATTGCTCGCAACAAGAATAATCCTATCGCGCAGGTGCTCAGTTCATCTCCGGTGAATATTTTGTTCAGGCATGATTTGGTTGGCCACTGACTTGTGTCATGGCATAATCTTTTATCCCGGCTGGATTCAGTTAACCTGACACAAGGCTGAGATGTGTTTTGCTGGAACCTTACTACATCAGGGTCATTCACTATAGGCTCTATGTACCGTGCAATCACACATTCAAAGGTACCAATGAGTAATAACAAGAAAATTTAGAAGTCCAAGATTCCACTAAAAATGAAAATCTTCATGTGGTATCTTTGTAGGGGAGTTGTGTTAACCAAAGATAATCTCGCTGGACGCAACTGGCAAGGGAGTAAAAAGTGATGTTACTCATGACAAGACAATCAAACACCTCTTTTTCCAATGTAAGTTTGCACGGTCTATGTGGTCAGTCATCTAAATTGTGTCAAATTTGTATCCGCCACAAGTGTTGCCAATATTTTTGGTCATTCATTAGATGGTATTCCAAATAGGTTCAAGACTAATAAGGATGAGAGCATATGCTTTAATTTGGTTGCTTTGGCTATGAGAAATGATTTGGTTTTTAATGACAACAATGCTTCTCCTCAGCAAGTTATTTTGATGTACATACTTGCTTCTTACATGGTCTATGTTACTCCCTCCTTCCCAAAATATAAGGCGAGCTTTGACTTTTCTGGTCTTCATCGCATAACTTTGACTATAATTTTCACTCATTGTATGTCCACTAAATTAGTATAAATATACATGGATAAAACTGTTTTGCAAGTAAAATTTGACGTTAGTAGTTATACCTATTCAATCCATGCATTTTTATATGTATTAACAGTCAAAGTTGTACATCGAAGACCGTGCAAAATCAAGCGTGCCTTATATTTTGGGAAGGAGGGAGTGCAACAAACGGAGTACCAACCGTTGTTCAAGACGGTGTGTGTGCGATTGGAGCAGTGGCTATGGAGGTTTTTTCTCAAATTTTCGTGCTGAAATGACATCCGAGGAACTCTGGACAAACAAAAGAAGCAAAACATGTCTCCAAAATGCCTTTTTTGAAGTTTCTTTGAAAGCTGTTTTTTTTTTATTTTCTAGAGCTACTCGAATGCCATTTCACCATGAAAATTTTCACGCTCCTAGCACATTGGTCATCTCCAGTGAAAAAAAAACAGATTTTTTGCTTTTTTTCCTATTTGTTTTGAATTTACCATTTGGCCTAGTTGGAACAACTTCAAGGAAGGGGCCGATTGGGATGGCGACTGTGGGGACGACGCCGGGGACAACGCCAGCCTCTGCCGCCTCTCCCCCGCCCCCCTCCTCTCCCGCCGTGCCCGCCGGCGCTCCGCGCCTGGCCGGTGCGGTCGCCCTCCCCCTGTCTCCTCGCCCCTCGCCCTCCCCTGCTCTGCCCCCGTCCGCCCCTGCTGCGACGCGCGCTTGCAGTTGGGCCGACTTGGCGGTGGAGGAGGACCGATTGGACGCCGACGCGGTTGCCGCCGGGCTGCCACAGCCTCCTCGCCGCTTCGGTGACCGGCTGGCTGCGGGGGTGGCGGCCGACGAGTCCATCTCCGCCCTGGTCCCTTCCCCTTCCCTTCCCCTCCCTCTACCTTTGCGGATGCGGCCGGAGGCCCACCACGCACCACCTTCCCCTCCACCACAGGGCGCTGGCCGTCCGGCTAGTCGTCGTGGTCGAGGGGCTCGAGCGCGAGCTTGGGGGTGGCTGGCCGGTCGGAGTTGGGACGGGCGGCGTGTCGTGGTTCTAAGTCTGACAGTAGAGTGGGGGGTAGGTATGGAGAGGCAAGGTTCTAGCTATGGAGAAGTTGTAAACACAAGAGATGTACGAGTTCAGGCCCTTCTCGGAGGAAGTAAAAGCCCTACGTCTCGGAGCCCGGAGGCGGTCGAGTGGATTGTGTGTATATGAGTTACAGGGTGCCGAACCCTTCTGCCTCTGGAGGGGGGTGGCTTATATAGAGTGCGCCAGGACCCCAGCCAGCCCACGTAATGAAGGGTTTAAGGGACATTAAGTCCGGGGCGTTACTGGTAACGTCCCACATAAAGTGTCTTAACTACCATAAAGTCTACTTAACTACAGGCCGTTGCATTGCAGAGTGCCTTTTGAACTCCTGGTAGTCGAGTGAGTCTTCGTGGTCGAGTCCTTCAAGTCAGTCGAGTGGGTCCCTCGTTGGTCGACTGGAAGGTGACCTCTTCTAAGGGTGTCCTTGGGCAGGGTACTTAGATCAGGTCTGTGACCCTACCCTAGGTACATGACTCCATCATTAGCCCCCGAATGGATTGAGGCTTCGAGTGAGGAAGGAGTTGATGTTGTTTCTGATTAACCTTTGCACACTGGTCGTGCGTTGTTCTGGACCAAAGAATCTCTTCGTTGATAGTGAGCAACTTGTCTTCAATCGACTCGATCCATTCTTTTCTTTCGTCGAGTGATCTTTCGGGCTTCGACGATTTCCAAGCGATGGATCACAGGAAATTCCGCGCCTGACAGACCGATCTGCCGTTCGCGGATTCCGCGGGATGCGAAATTTGGGGAAACGCGCGAAGCGGAGCGGACCGCGGCGTTCGGATGGGACGGGACATAGACGCCTCGATCCCCGTGCCGCTTTCTTCGCCACGTATCCCGCCTGCATAACTGTTCCAGGATATGATTAGATCGAACGGGCCCACCTGTCATCCACTCGGAAGGGACCTTATAAATGCGCCCTGGCGAGGGTTTTTTGAACAGTGCCTCAGCATTCTCTTTCTCTGCTCCCTTCGTCTCCGCCCAACGCGCTCGCTCTCGCCTCCGCACAACTTCTCCTCGCGCATCTCACCGGCAATCATGGCCAAGGAGAAGACGGCGGCGCTGG